TAGAATTTCTACCTGTATAAGACATTTAAGAAAGTATAGCAGGGATTTACTGAGATCTAACAAGAATCATGTACTTTCTGTCAAATGTGTGTCTGGTGGGGTGTTCAATGAAAATAAGTTTTTGTTTTGTTTTGTAAAGAGTAGTACACTTCCTGAGTAAATGAAGCGAAATGTCTAAGTGTTGTGTTTCAATGTGTTATGTAAATGATATTTTTGACAAATCAAAATAAGTTAAAAAAAAAACAAAAAAAAACAAAACTGCCACATCAAGATGTGAAATAATTCATTTCATAAATGCGTTAATAAATTACAACAGAATTTATGGTTGGCACTGTGCAGCCACAGTAGACCCATAAACTTATCTCCATCTGAATGCATTTTCCAGATAATGATGCCAAATTATAGGCCTAGCATTTATACCAGCAGCATGTTTTTGTGGTGTACATTTGACCACACTATTATCAAGCTGCCACAAACAACAATATTCATCAATATTATTTTCTTGATCTTAATCGGTTGGTCTTTAAAATGTCAGAAAATTTAAAAAATAGAAAGAAATTAAAAAATGCAATCACAAATACTAAAGACCAAAATGATGTTTTGTACTGTATGACAAACAGTCCAAAAGCACAAGATATTCTGTTTACAATCACATACGACAAAGTAAAAGCAACAGTGGTGAGAATAAGTCCCTAGTGTGAATAACTTAAAAAAACAACAACATTACACCTGTATAATGTACGCAAACCTTATGTGACAATACTTTGTTTACTATGCAAATACGGCATGATATCACAGCAGTAAAGCTGGTTATTCAGCAAGTAGGTAACTAGTACTAGCTTGCGGTCTATTTCTTCCTTGTCTCTGTTGGCTTCTTGCGACGTTTATTGCTGTATTACCACCGCCAACTATCAATCAGAGGAATAGCCAGACGATGGGAGAATAAGAATCACCTTGCCTGTGTGCTTGTGCATGTTACAAAATACCCCACTCATTAGAACATTGCTCCATAGCACTACCAGTGGTTATCCTGAGTGACCACTTTATCTAACACAGGTGTACGACGACGCACGTAGACAACGAAATACACTACACTGACATCTGTTTCACGATTATCAGCTGATCAACAGTTGGTGGCGGTGACATACAAAGCACAGCAATGCACCAACAAAGGCAAAGAAGAAGAAGAAGAATTCAACAGCAAGCTAAAACATGCATGAATACACAATTTAAATATTCAAATATCAGGTCAGCAAATGTTTTATGAGAAAGGAAATGCATTCAATATGTTTGTTAGACCTCTAAGACACGCACAACAGGTATTAGTGAGAAACAGTGAGTACCTTGGATATAATGTTTTGTTTTGTTTTTTTGGACATTTCAGATATTCCATTTCTTTCACATTCTATTTCAAGAGATAATATTTGTGAAATTACAATAAACTCTTCAGTTTCCGCTCCCTGAAACTGATGATGACAACGATAATAATAATAGCGTAATACCAGATACCGTGACATTTTCTGAGACAGTAATCGTGAAAACCTCATATCGTTGCAAGCCAAATTTTTGTGAAATAATAGTTTACCAGGACAATCTACCACTTGTAATTAATTACAACTGTTATATTAGCTGCACAATACACTTAACGCTTACCTTTCTTGACCTCTGCAATAACCCCATCTACTGCTGCAGCGGCTGCCCTCTTGGCCTCTCTGCTCTCCTGGTTGGCCCTGTCCTTCTGCTTCTTCTTGCTGGTACTGGAGGTCAGGTCTGAGCTGTTGTCTCTGCCGCTGCCTCCTCTCTGCTGAGTCCCACCACGATGGCCCACTGTCTCACTACCAGCGACACCATTACCACCGCTGCTGGCCATCTTCAGGCACTTGGCACTAACAGGCCGCCCGTCGCTGGAATCACTACCACTGCTGGGGTCTGGATCTGAGGTGTGCCTCTTCCTGCCTGGCCCGGCTATCTTGGCGATGATACTGGTCTGAACTCTCCCGGAACAGAATCAGGAAGGATAGTAAGGGGATGGGGCACCTGAGGCAGGGGGCAGAAATGCATTTATTAATCAAGGAGAAACCAATAGTACTCTTCATAATTGTTTGGCATTAATAGGAGCTATGTGCAAGTTAAGTAAAGTTAAACATCTCAGGTTAGGTCAATCCTGACAATCTGCTTTGCTATGTTTGTATAATACACAGAAACACAGAGGGAGGGAAGGAAAGAGGTTCACTGCTTGAAATTAATTAGGAGCAGGTTTCATTTAACTACAACAACACTGAACGAAACATGAGTATGTCTTATAAAGCTTATAAGCATATGGCTGTAGGTTTGCATATGACCGATGTTGAGCCTTGCCTAGTTTCCTTAGCATAGCAACATCAAGTTGCTAGCTTGGACAATCAAATGACAAACAAAGGACAACAGCTAAATCAGCCATTTTTTCGACGTTAAGTACAGCATATTCACTAAAAACATGGGTGGTGTTTATTAAGCTAGCTAGAAGGATTAACAATGCAGCCCCCGTTCCCAGAGTTGTTAGCTTGGTAACAGTTTAGCCAACCGACTTCAGAGGACCGTTTATTTTTAAGGCACACGTTTTTCAGGCTGTCATGTGCCCTTCGATATGAGGCATAAGTTACACATTTGCTATAGCGTTTAACTAACGTTATATTCCAGATTTTTTTTGGGCAAACCAATTTATTGGATTTAGCAAATACTATTTAGTCAATAACATTGAAACGTTCCTTTAATGTACTTGGTCCACTCTGGGAAGTGGGACTATGCAATTATTGGACGGCACATCGGGTTAAACTAACGTATATAACGTTACTGTATCTAAATCAACTGTCTTGGCCTTACTGTCTGGAAATTATCAACCACATTACTTATTATATTATATTTCTCGTTTATCTATACGGTCACTTCACCCGATCTCCAATCGGTGTCCTCCAGCAGAGCGCAGGACAGGTAATACAATCAAGCGCTCCTACAGTCTTCGAGAAGCTAATGTCATTAGCCATATCAAGCTAACGCTAGCCGACGCGAAAGGGTTGATATGACTACGGATTTTACACAACCAACACAACATGACATCTCGTGACACCCGACGCCCGCCTGTGATTAAAATGCCAAATTAATAATGTCAATAAAATTGGGGACTTACGGGGCTTCAATTTGGCGAGAACTGAATTCCGTTCCTAATACACAATGGCCGGTGTGAGGCGACTCCTTCTGTTTCTCCCGTAACGTTAGTCCACACTGTTTCTGGAATATTCTTTAATTTATCCGGGACCCATTTCTGGTGACTTTAAACTAGTTGTTTCATAGATGTAAAGAAAAGATAACACATGAAAAAACGGTTCAGTCTGTTGGTGTCATGCGGCGTAAGTCCGACTTTGTTTGGAACAAAATTCAGTACTGCTTCCCGGACCCATAGATGTCTTGGGCCAAACCTGAAATGAAATGCGCGCATAACACACTTCCTGGCTGGCGTGCTCACGTGATCTGTAGCTCTTCCTTTACTGCTCTCTCTTTCTCACACGCACGCCAGAGACTGTTTATAATAAATAAATATGTATAAGAATATAATCTTTGTACACAGTTTATAACACACAGACACAATACTCTTCATTTGATAGTTCATACCGTATTCAAACCAAGTGGAGATAAATGATTTGGTTAGCAAACAATATACATAATTTGATCTTTTGCTATGGCCTATAAAATAGGATTATCACTCTTGTTGGGGGGGTGGGGCATCTGTCAAAAATCTAATTTTAATACCTATGAATCAGTAGTTGTTTTGCTTAAATGGAGTATGTCAATACATTTCTTATTTATTAAGTATTATTTATTAAATATCACAAACTAACAAACACGCAGCAAACCCAGGGAAGGATACTGGTCGGTTTCTGGAGCTCTGGCCAGAATGAGCTGGGGGAATTTGTGCTTCAGCTGAAGACCATCCCAGGCCCTCCTGAGTCAACATTCAATGGCGCTCATATGTCAACTCTTTATATGGGCCTATATTCCTAGATATTTTTTATAATCGATCAAGGAGGGGGTTGACAGGGCCATGGCCATGATACATCAAGTACTACTATTTTTAGACAGGGACCTTGTCCCAAATGGCACCCTGGGCCCTGAGTCATTTTCTGAGTCTGCACTGAAATGATGTGTTAAACACTACTTGACAATAAAGCTCCTTCTGATTCTGATGTTGCAGATCTGTGGTGTTCACTGTTGCTGTTGTTACCTTTTCATAAGTCCTGTGGTAGAACATCACAAACATAAATCACAAATTATCATGGCACTGATGAAATATTGTTTGCCTTCTATGTAGTTGTTTATTTATGTTTGAACTTTATCCCTGGCCTCATTAGTGTTTACTTACACACACAAAAATCTATTTATTGAAGGTGGAGACAGCTGTGTTCAAGTAGCCTGGTTTGTTATCATCACCCTAATCATTGAATTGTGCAAATGATAACTTGATAAGTTAACTTTTATTATTCTAAAATAAGAAAAGTGAAATACACTTCCCAGCATTATCAAAATGATTCATTTAACAAGACAAGAATCTTTTATAGACAAAAACTATACCAGCCAAACTAACTAGTAAGTATTACGTAGTGTTGATCTTCTTTAACTTTGATGTAGCTCCTTCACTTTTGCTTTCTCTTTGATTTAGCCTTTCCCTTCTGCCAACTCTGGGTCTCAGAGCTAGTGTTGGCCCTGATTTTTCATGTCATCTTGGTAGTATACTGTTCATACTGCCATTCACAGTGATCAGACATTGCTGAAAGAATTGGGTAAGAGACTGCAAAGTCTGCAGATAAGGACTCACAACAGCGCTCAATAGCACCTTCGCACAACACAAAAATAGCAATGTGATATCTTACACCCTTGCAGACCCTGGTGTGAACACATGCACATTCCAGCCACAAGACAGCAAGGTTAGAAAATGGGAAAGTATCAAGCATACTTCAACATAGAGAAATGTTAAGTTATCCAACCTTTATTCACAAAAATATACACAAGCTTCTTTTTGTATTTTTGCTTTGGCAACTAGTGATCAAAATCACATGGCTGCCAGTTTGTAGATAATCTGAGGGAAATATGTGTACAGAGTTAATTTTTTTGGTTTGTTATGTTTCCTTAAACACAATTTGTTATGCAAATAGTACATGAAATGCCCATGAGACTAGCATATTATAAGGCACAATTAAACACTTCACGTACTATATGTCACTTCAGTGAGGCATCAGTTACAGCAGAGCTTATATATTCTATCATAGTACATTTGATAAACAAACACTCACAATCTGTGCATCACAGCTTTGGCATTCATAAAAATTAATCCTGGTGATGAATAAAAGGAATAATTCAAAATGTCAGGAATTACAATTATTTGCTTTCTTCTGGAGAGTTAATGAGAAGATCAATATCACTCTTATTCGTCTGTTATAGAAGGGAGTTAGCTTAGCTTAGCATAAAGACTAAAAACTGGGAAACAGTTAGCCTTACTTTATCAAAATGTAAACCTAAAGTTCACTAGTCAACACAATAAATATTTTTTGTTTACTCTGCCCCCCCTCTCGATTCCAGTCTTTATGCTACGCTAAGCTAACTGGCTGCTGGCTATAGCATCACAATTCTCCTAAAGTGTGATATATTGTCTAACTCTCGTTAAGAAATAAAATAAGTTTCTCAAAATCACTAACTAGTCTTTTATGTTTTTTCCTGTGAGTGGTGCCAGAAGGCATGCCATTTTGTTACCTAAATCAAAAGGGTTTGTTTTCTGTACAGTGACCATTTAGAACATGTTAGACTGAGCTTCTTAGCTAGACCATAATGTCTTCTTGTTTCATTAGTTCTAAACGACAGTTCACATACAGACCAACTGATATAGCATCAGTCGTGCTGCTAGCATACACTGTTAGCTTACTCTGCTCCCTGCATTTCTCTTGTGTGGTTTTAGTGGAAAGCCATCCTCCTACTCCAGGCAGAGGTGGTTTTTGGGCTGGTTATTGGTTTAGCAGAGTCACAGTTCATTGTCACATAAAAATGTAATTGATTTCCCTGTTATTTGTATAAAGGCATAATACAAAATATACATAATAAAAGACAAATTTCTAGCACCACAGTTGGTGGAATTTTTATCTTAAAATCCTCAATTTAAAATCCTGTTCATCTCTTTATTCTACTGAACAACATTTCCTTTAAACTACATAGGGACAGGATCTAGTGACTATACCCTCATCTCTGTATTTTGGCTTATTTGAAAATAATTAAGGCTTTACCATATCTTTACTACCATTCCCAAAATAAATACCATGGTTAAACAGATTTTCATTCTGTTTTATGTCCTCATGCACCCAAAGGTTGTTGTGAAGACACTGTGAGATTGACCTGTTCGCAAAGCATTATTTTCACCCGAATATGTGTATTTTTTACTTTTCTAAAATAATTTTTCATATTCAAATCTGATTTAGACAGATACATTTCCAGATTATTTTAAAAGCAAAAACAAAAATAATGTGCACAAATTAGAATTAAAATACAATATGTGACATCAGACAACCTTTACACGTTCAGTCATGAGTGTGTTTAAAATATCTAAATATGATAGTAACTGATTTAAATACTTGCATAAAAGAGAGTTTACCCACAAATATGCAAATTCACCTAAGTGAAAAAATAACCAACCCAGCCATCTTCTTTCACTGTATTCTTCAAAGTATCTTGTACAGTTACTGTATCTGGAGGAAATGGTAGAACAACACATTGACCTGTTTTCTTATGACATGGAGTAGTGAGCTACTGGCATGTGTTGTAGATCTGGATCTGTTTGTTGATATCATTGAGGATGGCTTTCATTTTGTCCTCCAAGCCATCCAGCTGACGAGCTTTCCCCTCCAACCTCCTCTGGTTCTCCTCATAGTTTTTCTCCAGCTCTGTGGAAAATAGGAATTTCAGCATGTGGTGCTACTGTAAGTCATTCTTGAGTCAAATTGTGGGGATCCTCAAGGACTGATTTTAGGGCTTCTACATTTGTACACGTACAGGGTGGTGTCCTCATGAGGCACACCATTACATTTACATTTATTCATTTAGCTGACGCTTTTATCCAAAGCAACTTACAATTGCTATATATGTCAGAGGTGGCACGCCTCTGGAGCAACTAGGGGTTAAGGGTCTTGCTCAGGGACACAATGGTGGATGGGTCACAATGGGGAATTGAACCCGGGTCTCTCACACCAAAGGCATAGTCTTATCCATTCCCCCCCATCCTTTTCTATAGCTAAGCTAATGACACATAGCTTTTTCTTTTTGAATGTATGTTAGTGCCTTGAACAGGCAAGAAACCCAGAACTTTTGCTTTCTCTAGAAATTTCTTGGCAAAAGTGAGATGAGAAGATCAATACCACACACTGTGGTAAATATGAAGCTACTTTCAGCAGCTGGTTAGCTGTGTTTGTTACAATAACTGGAAACAGGGGGACTGTCAAAATGTTACAAAATCAGCAACTGTGGAGTGCAGAAATTAACACATTATTTCTTGTTTGTACAGAAAACTAAAAATGACACTATGAGCCGAACTATCTCACGGGTGGGTGTGGTTAATTTCTACTTTTTTTGTCCATTAATCTCCACAATTGTATTTATGTAATGTGTTATTATTAACTTGTCAATCACCTATAGAGTGCTTTCTTTGCACTAACCTGTATTAAAGGTGCTATAGAAATAAAGTTTCAATGACTAATTCTGGAATTTGGATTGGCTTTCAAATTATAAAACCACACTTTTCTTCCTCCAAACAAATGTAAACACATTAACCCTGTCTATGTCTTCGTCTACATACACACAGACACACACATACACACAGATAAGATAAGCACCTGCTAGTCTCTGGAGCTTGTTCTGGGCATCTTTCAGTAGTTCCTTTGCTTCATCTCTGAGGCTCTCTGCCCTTTTCTTGGCATCCTTCACAGCCTTGGCCTTTGTGTCAACCCGCTGCTGCACTTCATGGTATTTATCTGTCAGCTGGCCGTCTAGAATCTAAGCATCAAGACAGAAGAAAGTTCACAGCTGTGTACGCTTTAAATGAGTGTGTGCACACACAGACACATACCTGCTTGGCTTCGTTTGCCTTGTCTCGTGCCATGGTGGCTGTCTCTTCGGCTCGGGCTGCTGCCATGCTGTTGTTGGCACGTTTGGTCTTCAGGGCACTGATCTCCTGTCCCAGTGTGCCCAGGCGGGACATGGCATCATTCAGGTCCTTCTCACTGTTGGATGTCTCTGACTCAATCTAAGGAGAGCATGCCCAAGCAAAGTGAATTCTGATCCCTCTAATATTACACGGTTTGCTTGTGATGCATTAAGCATTAAGTTTTCATTTTATTCCATGGTGTGATTTCTCAAAATTTACTCCTGGATGTTCATGTAATTGCCCGTGTGTGTGTGTGTGTGTGTGTGTTTTAAAAGCACATTGAACACCTTTAACAAGGCACTGAATCATCAATGATTGTCAAGAGGAGGAGGTGGAATAAAGCTATAGCACAACACTGACATATAGTTGATATGGCAAACAACTGCTTATTTTAGCAGATAAGAAGCAACTGACTTTCATTTGGCGTCATGTTTCTGGCCACTTGATGATGTAAGTCCTACATTTAACCTCTGTTAAATGAGAGTGTCCCTATAGCAGCTTTAAAGTCACGTTTTTACAAGAGAGATTCATCTACAGTATCTACAGTATCTAACGTGGGCTAACTTCTATGTAACTACATAAAACTCAGACTGGTGAACAAAATGTCTTGCAACAATCATTAATTTTTTAACAACTCATACAGATACGGTTATTTGTACTATGGGGCAGTAAACTACTATTTTGGCACACAGCTTAATGTTTGTTGTTTTTGGTTCATTACCTGTGCCAGTCGGGCCTCAGTTTCCCCAATGTCAGCTTTGGCTCTTGCTATGGCCTTTTCTGCTGATGTCTGGGCAGTCTTTGCATCCACCAGGGCCTGTTTCACTGTCTCTGCGGTGGTCTTCACCCCCTCAGCTTGATGCCTGAACAACAACATAGTGTTACTGACAGTCAATGGTTTTAGATAGGATGAAAACATATAGAAGAATTAGTACAAATAATTACCAACACCATATCTCAATCTATTCTGACTACCTTGCCCTCTTGGCATCAAGCAGCAGTTGCTCTGCCTTGCGGACATCTTCCTGCGTCTGTTCTAGGATGGAGTCGACATTCGAAAGGCTGCGAACCCGTTCCTTGATTTCATCAGCAAGATGTCTGATCTGGTGGGGCGAAGCGGGTATGGAGAGCTCCAACACACGGTTCGCCACCGCCTCAATGCTGTCTGGGTCTGCACCCTCCTCTGGGAGAAAGACATGAGAAGTGGCAGGGTTGACATATTGTAGGAGGGCAGATTAAGTGGCAACATAAGTAATCTACATGTTCTTGGTAAACTTGCAAAATGTACACATAAAATATGTCATAATGTATTAAACTCTGACTCACGAGTAAGGAAGTCTCTGATCTGTTTGATGAGGTCTCTTAGGTCATTGTTGGAGCGCTCCACTTTGTTCTTGGTGGCAGTGGCTTTGTCCAAAGCTGCTTGGGCTTTGCCCTTGGCCTCCTCTGCCTTGGTCTTGGCCTCTGCCACCTGAAAGGCAGAAAAGTTTATAGAGGACACCAAAGGGTAACGTATTCACCATAGCTGCTGTCTTTACTACGACTGTACTTTTCACAGCAACAGCGTTTTTCTAAGAACTGTTCAGATGATAAAATCTTTCAGTTTAGTTTTTTTAGTGAGCCTACTTTCACTCAAATTCGTTTTGTCTAAGTGCCCACATGTACCAGACTGCAGCTGCACTGGTTACGCAATCACACAGGGTGAATGTCATTTTTGGAGTGTACTGTAAAGCCCTCACTCCATTCTGAGAGACTGTGAGAGGTGATGTACTGTGAGGGGACGCTGGCATAAAATTAAACTATGGATGTGAATAAATGTATAACTATATACAGTAAAAACTCCAAAAGCACTCTTAACAGAATTGCAAGGGATTAATATTTTCACCAATGTCTGGTCCCAAATTACAGTAGCTATAGTTCTCATATGCTTCCATACCTTGGTAAAGAGTCCCTCCACCTCTCCCATAGCTTTCTTCAACTCCTTTTCTGCGTGTTTGGCTCTCTCCAGGGCATTGTCAGCTACTGCTACAGCGCCGTTACAGTTTAGACCTCCACAGTGACGGTTCCCTTCATCGTCACGGCAACCTGCACCCCCACAAGGACTTTCTGCACAGGGAGCATCACCTGGAGCGCCGCAAACCTGTTGGAAGAGATCAACATGTACTTGTATGGAAATGAATAATACGGGTAACTATTAATAATAACGTTTTTAATTTTAAATTAAATTTACAAAGGAAAGTTTTCAAATCAAGTTTTTATTTCATGAAAAGTTCCACAAAAAATAATTGTTGTAGTTATTACACTATTACACCACCATTACATTTGTCCTGTCTTGCACCCCCTAGAGGCAGCTCACAACCGCACCACACTTTGGGAATCGCTGGATTACGCTATAAACAGTAGACCAACATTTAATCTATATGAACAATGGACAGTAATAATAAAAATAAAGTTTATCACCTTAAACAAACTTGTGAACAAGCTAAAAAGAAGGTTTTCGCTTGAAAACATAAAAAGGATTTCTGTTGATCTGTTATGCAGTTCATGCCTGAAAAACCTTGTTAGTTCCACTGCTTCTGCGGTTACTTCTCTCTCTCTGCCTGCATGAATGCTGTCAAACTTGTTAACAAATGTGCTCAAATAATATAGAATGTGATCAAACCTTCTCATTGATCTTCTTCATGTCCAAGCCCTGCGCTCTGGTGTTGAGGTCTGCAAGCGCACGCTTATTAGCAGCATTTTTACGGTTGAAGTCATCCTTCTTGGCGGTGATGAGGCGCTCGGTGCGGCGGCGAGTGTCTGCAGATTGGCTGACTGTGCTGGGCCTGGTGGTTGTTGATTCATTGGCACGCCGCTCCGCATCACGGGATTTGTTGTAGGAGCTACGGATGCTGTCGTACGCACCTAGATAGAAGAGGTGGACAAAAAAGTAGGAAGTAGTAAGAGGAAGATGATTAGGAATAATGATGCGACATGTGAAGGAATGTGGGTAGGAAAATGTGAATGAACCTAGAGTGTGGACAAGCTGACGGCAGCAATAAGTCTGAGGTGTCAGTTTGAATTGTTTAATAATGAGGTTCTATCCTCCCTTTCTTTCTCACCTAGGAAGTTGGAGTTTTTTAGGATATCCAGTTGGTGGTGTAGCTGCTCTGAAGTGAGGTTAAGTTCTTTAGCTTCTCTCTCCAGAGCACTCAGCTCCTTGCTTGCCTCAGAGTTGCTGTCCTGGACGATGGTTAGGTCTCCTTCCAGACGGTTCAGGGTGTCAGTGGTCTCACCGATCTGCGCTCTGCAGGGCAAGGCAGGAAGTTGTTAGGCGATAGAATATGTAATCCTGATATGATTTTTAATGTACTTTATTGGACAATAATTCTCCAAATGGAGAGAAGAGATTTTTCATGACTTCTAAATCAAGTATCATTATTTTGATACCACTACCTTTTGTGGCAGAAAAAACTTTACTTTCAATAAAGTTTCACATGGGAAACATGCATTGGAACGTAACAGCTGTACCTAAGATCTTCAATAAGCTCCATTAGGGTAGCGACGGCTGCAGCAGTGGCGTTGCGCGCATTGACAATGCCCTGAGCCTGTGCCAGTTTCTCCTCCAGGTCTCTAAAGGCCTTCTCATAGGCCCCAGTAAGCCCAGTGGTCTGAATCTCATGGGCACGCTCTGCCAGGGCCTTGGTACGCACTGCTAGGTCCTGGTAATATGACAAAATTATACAGAGAAAGATAATAGTTGACTCCAAATGAATCAGTTATTCAGTTTCACATTTGTCTTTTTCTGACTGAGGACCCCCTCTTTCACATTAAACTACACCTGCACGATGCGATCCCAGTCCCCGAAGCACTGGTGACAGGGCTGACAGCTGGGGAACTGACCAGAGAAGCCTCTGGCACACTGGTCACAGCGGACACCTGACACCCCCTGCTGGCAAACACAGTGGCCAGTCACCCGGTTGCACTGAGAGGTCTCAATGCCACGCCAGTCACAGTCACAAGCTGGAGGAGGAGAGAAGGACGAGGAGGGAGTGTACAGTGAATGATCGGACCTAGTTTATACTGACAAAATCTACATGTTTACACGCATTGTGAATGTATTAGTTAGTTATTAGTTCTTTACTTTAGCACATGGATATTCATGTATGTCCAGAGCAGGTACCAAATAATTTGCAATTAATCAACGTATCACAAAACAATTGCCACATGCTGAACCTTGTTGCCCAGGAATCCAGCTTTGGTTTTAGCCATGGCAGTTAACAATATTTAACTGGCGTTCAGGAAGAGGGCCCGCTGGCGTTCAGGAAGAGGGCCCGCTGAACTTATGTTAAGTCATTCTTTTTTATGCAATGCTTTTTGCACTGTGATGCAACCCATCTTTCTGCCTGAGCAGCTATAAAGTCTTTGAGCACTTCACTTTTTGCATTTGGTCTCTTCATCACGCTCATACTACACCATTTCCTAAGAGCATTCATTATGTCGTCATGTATCTAACCTCGGCACTGCGTCCTGGGGTCACCCCAGTAGTTCTCCTGACAGTCTGTGCAGGTCTTCCCTCCAAAGCCGTCACGACACTGACACTGCCCAGTGAACTGCACATCAGGGAGTAGAAATGACACATCAGTTTATTTCGTTGATGTCAACGTGAATGAATGTGAATGTAGTTACACTTATATTGAGATGTGCTTATTGGAAGTTGTTCAGGCCCAAATGTTCCCTACCTCATTACATGAGGACGTGACTGAGTTGTTGGGATCACAGCCGCAGGGTTCACAGCCCCTCCCGCTGGCCAGGTTCCAGTGGTTGGGGGCGCAGTGGTCACATGTCAGGCCTATGACGTTTGGTAGACACTGGCACTGCCCTGTGGTTCGCTGGCACACACAGTCCTCACGCTCCATACACTGGCTGCGGTCAGTACCCAGGAAGTTACATGTGCACTCTGAAGGGCAATTAGGCCAAAAAATGCATCTTTGTTATGTTGCTCTATTTACAAAACATTAGCATGCAAGTTAAAGTTAGACTTTTTTCACTGAACATGTCACTCACTTCTGCAGTTGCGTCGTGAAGCGTCCCCAAAATAGCCACTCTTGCAGATGCCACAGTTGCTGCCCTCAGTGTTGTAAAGGCATTTCTTGCACTCTCCGGTCTGCCTGTTGCAAGCGTCCATGTCTGACATGTCGATGTTGTTGTTGCACTGGCATGGCTGGCAGCGCCCTCCGGGCTGAGAGGGGTTGCCATAATAACCTGGGGCACATTCCTCACATCGGGCACCTGAATTGGGAGAAAAAGCAAAAGGGAAAGAGAATAAGGAGTGGAGGGAGGAGATGTGATCATTCCATAACTGTTATTTTTATACAGGGTTTCCCAAGCTGCTTTGTTTTTGTGTATGAAACAGCAGGATACTCATTTACAGCAATGCAATCAACAAGTAGTCTTGGTTTAATAAAGAAATGAGGACACCCTTATTCAATTGGATATTACCCAGACTGGGCCTAAAATGTTTTCAGTGGATAACTCCATATGAAGAAACATGTTAGTCTAAGACTTTGCCTAACCCGTTTCTGCATAGTGTGAACATTATACAGTATGTTACTACAATCAGTTTGTTACTTATCACTCAATGGGGTCGGGTTAACCAGCTCTCATTAGTTAAGGGTTTTTTTCATCACACCTTCTTCAGTATATTATGCAACACATTACTATACGCGCTGATGACAAAAGCGACAATTAGTCAACAGTCATTCAAATTCTGTGAATGTGGCACAATGTCTCAGTCTGCTTCAAGACACTCCACAGAGACAGGTGTAATCACTACAGACATACCCTGCTTTGAACAATATTATTCCACACTGTGTATTACTTTTGGCTGCAGCTGTACTATACCTGTCATGAACTACTGCTATATACTGTACCACACAGATACAACAATAGTCCAAAATTCTTTTGGCAGTGAACCATTAGTTTAGTTGCTGTTTTCCCACACTGTTATATCTAATTTGCGGTATCTTTAGATCCGACTCAGAATAAGAAATACTTGGCATATTTGAGTCTAGTAGGAAAGGGAGAATGAAGGAATGAGAAGGTGGGGAGAGGTAAAAAGTAGGGCTGTGCTGGCAGAGTAAAAGCTAAAGTACAGAGAAGATAAGAAGAGAGAAATATAGAAAAAAGAGGAAGTTGCGTGAAGGTATGAAAGAGAGAGGGGGCAAAGGGAAGTAGAAATAGTGGTGAGCAGAAGGGGGGGAAGTTGGGTAGAAAGCAAATATAATCAGCTACAGTTTCTCAGGTCCATTACCTCTCTCTTCCTTTACATTTGAAAGTCAGAACTGTGTCCTGCCTAAGCTTACAGACAGCTCATAATGATATAGTGGACATACAGTGTATAGCCATAACCATTTGTGCTTTATCTGAAAAGTCAAGTTTGTTAAACAAGTGACATCAGTGTACTTATCCAGGCTGTATGGCAATATTGTTAAATCAGTGCAGCTCTTGTTCTTTGAGAAATTACTGTTCAACAACCTCTCAACATCATCCACGCAACATCATCCATTCACAGATAATAATGAACAGTTAAATCTATTTCAAACACAAGAGACAGAAGCTGACCCAGACTCTACCAACACCTGTGTATAAACCTGTACCCACATTACTCTTCCTCATAATTTCTCCCTATTTACTTTGAATGGTTATTTCTGTGGAAAACCATACTTTTTGACACAATCACTCAAAAATAATGATTCTGGGTCAGGTCCTTTTATTGGGAATATTTACACAGACCTGGTTCAAATCTTGAAATAAATTAACCACTTCTAGCATAATTTCAGTGTAATTTTAGGGACAATTATTATTATTTGTCCCTTCATTGCCATAAAAAAACACAGGCAGACACAATTTGAAAGGGTTTGACATTATTCTTTGAGCCAGGTCTCACACATGGGCAGGAGTGCATTGTGGCACAGCACCATTTAATGGGAGGGGTGCTGAAGCCATGCATGGTTTAGACTGGAAAAGTGGAGGGTTGGTGAAAAAAAGAGGAGGAGGAGAAAGGAGGTGGGGGTCAACCATCATTACTCACGCTTAAAAATGGTCACCCCGGAGCGTTTAACAATCCCTGTGCCAGTAATACAGGGGAGGGAGGAAATGACACAGGTTACTGTTCACCAGAGCCCAATGCTAATATGCTGATGTTTACCAGGAATATTGTTCACCATCTTAGTTTAATATGTTAGCATGCTAACGTTTGCTAACTAGCACCAAACACAAAGCACAGTTGAGGAGTTTTCTCTCAGTTTTGAGGTTCAGCTCAATCACTGAGTTTATTTATACTATAACATCAGTACTTAAACAAAACTTCTGTCAACTACAAACTAGACTATTGATGCACTGAAATTAAGTGATATGAAATGCCACTCTTTAGACTTTAGACTGTCTTTTAAAATGAAAGGTACTTGCTAAAGTAATTAAGTAAGGTGCCCTTTGGCTTGATTAAACACACAGGTTTCGTAGAAATATTTTAAAACTCAAATCTTGACACAAAGTGCGTTATGAAGAACAGTATGGTTATGCAGCTGTACATTTACATTTTCATTTTAGCAGAAGCTTGTGTTCAAAGCAACTTACAATAAGCACATTAATGTTCAGGGGTGCAACACGTTCAACAGGTATCTGTTTCATAGGTTCTGTAGAAAGTGAGTCACCCTCTTTAGTTACAATATATTTCTTTGTGAAATTCATTATAACTCCAGATACACACACATTATGGACAAACAGTGATTTCATCAGCACCACTTGCTGAGGATGAAGCGAAAACAAAGCAGAAAGCAAGGACTAGTGGAACAGGAGGGACAGAAGAAATATAGAGACACAGCAAGAGTATCATCTTCGGTTTACCTGTGTAACCCTGGTTACAGTTGCAGATAATTTGTCTGTTACGGTTGTCCTGGTAACAAGATGCAGCAAAGTGGCGTCCACTATTGGGCCCATCTGGACAGGGGCACGGCCGACAATGACCACCTGACGCTTTGCCCAAAACTGGGTTACCATAGTAACCATTGGCACACCTACAGAAATGACAAAAGAGTTAAACGTGACACTACTCAGCTTGCACAGGGAATATGCAAGGAAAGCGTCTTAAGTCAAAAAGCACACAGTATTAATAGATTTACAGCTGTTCTATAACTCCAGGAACACCATATCCCTTTTAACATTATGTCTGAACTGAACCTGATCTCATGAAGCTTGGTCACCTTCTCACTGAAACATCACCTGTCACACTTGTCTCCTCCAGTGTTGTCCCTGCAGTTGATACAGGCGCCACTCCTCTGGTCACACTCTTCGGCGTGTCCGTTGCATTGGCAGGGTCGGCAGCTGGGGAAGCCCCAATGACCCGCCTGGCATCCGTCGCAGTGCTGACCAAACGCTCCTGGACGGCACTTGCACTGACCAGTATACTTGTCACAAAATCGAGTCACGGAGCCTTCCAAGCTGCAACTGCAGGCTGGGCAGAGGGAGGAAAATGATAAGCAGGGGCATATAGGAAGGAGGAGAGGATGATAGGAGGTAATCAAATGGAGAAGGAATCAAAGATAGAAAGAGAAAAGGATGGAGAATACATAATTTATATAAAGGGGCGACAGTAGAGGGCGCCAGCAGCATAGTATATAATTAATCAAATAAATAAAAATAAAGTAACTGCACATAAAGTCTACAGTAGGATATCTAAACTCATGTTACTCCACAGACCTCACTTTCATTAGTAAAATGAATAAAAGAACAACATACAGTAATAAAACTGAGGTCCAAGTGTCAATAGTCTGTGAACAAAGATTTGATTGAAGTTTCCCAGTGAAACTGCTTTGTTAGCTGTTTACATTCTGTACCTCGGCAAAGGCTTTTACTAAGCCCTTCCAGGGAAAGTGTAAACATTAGTTGGAAAACCCAACCAGATAAGGGGCGTATAAATATGAAAAATGTTGTTATGTTGCATCATGTCCTCCATAAACAGGTCTAAATTTCAGGGAAAAAAAAGGGTGGGCGAGAGTTTCTCACCTATGCAGCCCGAGGGCCCAAAGCCATAAGTTCCCGGAGCGCACTGCTCACAGCGTCGTCCAATCACATTTGGCCTACAGCGACACTGGCCCCCGCGGACATCACACATGGAGCTGATGGACCCCTGAGGATCGCAATTACAAGCTGGAGGATGACAGAGAAGCACAGGCATATTGGAACATCATGCAAATTGAATTCTGGGAAAAAAGAGGAACTAACAAAGGCTAATGAATGAAATCACATATATGAATGTGAGGTTAACAAGTGGAGCTGCAGATTGACGTGATATTAGGTGATATTCTACATGCTATACCAATGTGGAACTTAATTTTCTTCTTTGAGCACCAATAAAGTGCTAAAAACATATCTAATGCCATAAATACATAAATGCCATATCTTGCAATATCCAGCTGACGCTCACGCAGAGGAGAAATATACTTCCTGGGAAGTCACAAGTTAGGTTAAAGGTCATGTAACCCCGCAGTCTACTGCATTGTGAGCATCATTCATAATCTTTTATGTTGCTTTTTTCACTCACGGAGAGCCCCATCATTTATGATGGCCGACATGCTGGTGATCAGCTTGGCACAGGTGTCACTCATCAGTGGGCGGGTCACACTCTTCGCCCCCTCTTGACAGCGATACCGCTCAAACGTCTGCTTCCTGATGTTAGAAGCTGGATCCCCTGCGTTGAACATCTCCATGGAGGAGTGGCGTGGCATCAAGGCAATCTGGAATGAAGAGAGAGAGGAAGGTGTTTGAGTGCGGAATGAAAACTTCTTCATGAGTCAGATGCTTATTTTTAGACTGGAAAAAGAAATTCATCTCACAGAGTCCACAAGGATTAAAGCATTGGCCGCTCCGTTGAGGATAGTGTTGGCATCCTGATAGCGTCTGAACTCAAAGCGGAGCGTGTAAGTCACACCTTGCTCCAGACACACAGGTTGCAGAGGGACCATAAACCTGGAGCAAACACATTCAGTACACAGTTGAAACTCAGTGATTTATGTGTGAGTGTTTATGTGTGTTTGAGCCACAGACCTGGCTCCAGCTGGTAGGGAGACAGTAAGGCTGTCATCATCTGGGATGGTGTTTCCACAGAGGCTGCTGGTAGGAATCGGCCCCGGACGGATCACTTTTATTCGCACCTCCTCCCAGTCTCTGGGCATCTAGATATAATCGATTTTATATAATTAATTTGTAGCAATAGTTGCAGTTGTTAAAATGCAGTCAAAGGTAGACTGATCATGAGTATGAGAAGGGGAGGGGGGCAGTTGTAATGACTAACTGGATGAAAGGAAATCAATCAAAAATGCTTTGGAAAACGCTTAACATGTGATATAAACACGATTTATAGGCAAAGGCATGCTAAAACATGCAAAACCACCAGCAAGCTCATTTATGTTAATAGTCAGTGGAGCTTTGTTTGTATTGCAAAGGCTGTGCATAGTTGAAGGAATATTTTTAGTTTATTTAAGTTGTGGTTTTGCAAAGGGTTTACGTGTAGATGATGTACAAACACACAGACCTGTGACTCATAGCGGATAAGCAGGTCATATTCCATGGAGTAGGGGATATTATTGATGAGGAACTCCAGGGTGCCACCCTCAGGTACCCGAGCGAACCCAGTGCCTGTCCATGTGGCGGGGCGACCCAGCAGGTGCTCCCTAGTCTCCAGTGTACAGCCCTGAGAATATCCAGGCGTATTCAGATATAGTTTTTAAATATATTTCCATACTAAAGCCACATAATCACTCCAACACAAATGTGTGCCCAAGAAGAATACAGGCGGGCTCACCTGCCCCATTTTGGCCAACTCAGCTTCATAAAGGAAGTGATCCAGAGCCATGAAGAAATATCCAGACTCCACCTGCGCACACTGGCGTCCCGTCATGTGACTGCGGCAGCGACACTGACCGCTCTCCATGGAGCAGCTACAGTGAACACATGAACAGCATTATTTCACTGCTACAGTTGATATTATATGGCTTAGCTGCTTATGTTGGGTGCCTAGCCTTTTAATCAGTAATGTAATTGCTTAATCTGACATCGAAGTTAAACTCACTACCTTATAACAAGGCAAGCTAACAACAACATGAGCATGCTAACATGCTCACAATGACAGAGCTAACATGTTTACCATGTTCACCATCTTAGTTCTTTAGCATGTTGGCATAACTAACATTACACAATTAGCACTAAACTCAAAGTACAGCTGAGGCAGTTTTGAGCTGGTGATGGCACAAGAGGAAAAGTTAGGGGATCACCAAGAATCAATGAATGAATCAATTATTTAATTAAATAATTACTATGACAAATTATGGCTCCCAGGGTAAAGGTGGAGTACAAAAAGCTGCAGCTGCTATTTTGGGGATAGTAATTCATTTATGAGTGTTCAGTCTCAAAGACATTTGTGACAGCTTTGATGTGTGTGACCTGTGACTCAGGATTAAAACTACAGCATCACTCACTGGTTGTCCAGGGCTCCTCCGATATCACACTCACAGCCTCTGCAACCGTTTAAGTCGTGGCTCAGAGCCCAGTGTTCCGGCTAGAAACACAGAAGGACAGGCAGAGGGCAGAGTGAATGACAGATGGAAACAGAAGAGGGCCAGAGCAATAACTCGACAGGCAGACACTTGAACATTTAGCTCCAGACAGACAGGACGCATCACTCCCCATGCTGTTACAGAGTCAGAGGGGAACATCCGCTGCAATTTGACTGTCATAAGTGGATGTGAATCATACATACTGTATCTCGCTCTCTAATCCAGTAAAACAACATTCATAGCTCCAGGGCATAATATTACCGCCCCATTCAAAAAGAGCTGACAGTGTGAATACTGGAATTTTTGCAGTCAGCAATTTAACTTTTTATCTCGACTATGGTTTGGCTGATGTACGTGTACTTTGCTAAATTTTGTGGTTTCTCCTCTAGTGTTACATAAGAATCTGGTTACTTTTACACTGCACTGCATTTATTCAGTCAAAACTAAAGTAATATTTGTTTGTGCCAGGTTGTTTTCTTGCTAGGCTTAAATGACTTTATAGCTATTTGAAGAGCTAACAAGGGAGACTCTAGTAATGAGACAGCTTCTTTTTATGTGTAGGTAGAACTTTATGATGAGCTCTGTAAAGACTTGCTGTAAAAAAAAAAAAAACATCCAGAAAAGAAAAAGTACCTTACCATCACTTTGTGAAAGCATATTTTAAATAACAAAATGATACTAAATATCCACTTTCGGACCAGGTCCAGGTCCTGACCATTTTAGGCCTGCTGTAACCCACACCAACCGGACAAGCCTCATATCCCTGGGCTAAATTTAGAAAGAGGGCCCAGGCAGGAGCTCACATTCCTGCCTATACTATTCCTGGCTGAGTAGGTTTGGGACAAGAGGTTGTATTATAACAGGAAGCTGATCACCACCCAACATCTTGGGCTGCTGGGCAGGGAGGGTGATAGGACAATATGAGAACAGAGTGAAGAAGATCAGCAGCACTTATTTAGAAGTGAAAAGGAAAAGGAAAGACACAGGTAATATTGGCCATGGAGTGACATGTAAGAGAATGAATGCCTTCATTCATATTTAATTGTCTCATGATAAATGTGAAGCGTAAAGTGACAGAAGTGGTTAAATTTAAGATTTTCCTTTCAAGACGGAAAAAACGGTCAGGCCAAAAAGACAGGTTGTTTTTTTTGCACTGTCTTACCAAACACTGGTCACAGCTGCGTCCAGTGACAAGACGCTTGCAGAAACAGTCACCACTGACTGGGTCACATTGGGAACTACCTGACACTGTTCCCCTATGGTCACACTGGCAAGCTGGGGGCAGAGGGCAAACTTGATTATAATTAGATCGAAGCAAAGTTTTAAAATAATAAATCACTCAAAAACATACAAAAATTCTAAATGTGACCCTGATTGGCAGATCAATTATTACAAAGCCTAGTATGCATTTAAAGTATGCAATTATCACTGAGGATGTGGGGGATGTGTCCCACTCACTTTTCCCCTTCACACCACTTTTGCATTTTTTGTAAATTTACTAAAATCTCTCTAAAAAGAGCCTGATAACCAATTGCATTATACATTTTTATTTGATGGATGACATCAACTAACTCCAATTAAATGCTAACAGACAGGGTCATTATAACATTTCTATGACTGTGTGAGTTATAACAGAGACTCTACTCACGTTGGCAGCCCTGAGGGTTGTCAGTGCTCAGGCCGAAGAAGCCGGTCTTACATTTGTCGCAGCGTGGCCCCTCAACATTGGCCTTGCAACGGCACTGACCTCCCACCATGCTGAGTGACGGGTCGGTGTGGCTATCGCACATCCCTCCATTCAGAGAACCATCTGGATCGCAATCACAAGCTATGGGACATGAAGGAGTTTAAATGCATGAGAAGTTAAACTTTAATGATTCATATCTGAACTCATTTTAGTTTATCTATGCATAAAAGGGTTAATATCTCAAATACTACACATGCTAAAAAAATCATACTTGGCACACAGGTTCCCTACTGACTTGTGCTCAACAAATTTCACCTATAGGTGGCACTACAGTTCAAATATAACTTTAAAAGAACAGTTCCACATTTTAGGAAATGCTTGTGAAAATGAGAAATGGGGAGAAATGTGGTGGACTTTTTCTTCAGAGCCAGGCTAGGTAAAGTGTTGCTGTAAATGAGAATGGTGGTGTAGTGGATAAGACATATGTGTGAAAGACCCGGGTTCAGATTCACTGTGACACCAATGTGTCCCTGAGCAAGACACTTAACCGGGGACGGCAGTAGCTCAGTTTGTAAGGATTAGTCTGGAAACTGGAGGGTCATTGGTTCAAAGCCAGTTCAGAGCGTGGATGAGGTGCCAGTTCTTCTCCTGGGCACTGCTGAACCCTTCACTCTGACATCTCTCTGTGTGTTGCTGTCAAATTATCTATCGCAGTACCCATGTATCATCATTTCTATGCAGTTTTATGGAAGTTTTTTTAGCAATGGGCATAAGAGATAATGACATCCTGGTGATGTCCATCCAGTGTAAGCCACACTAAATCTCCAAATACGTTTTTCAGGCCTGCGTGCTCAGATTTGACTAATAACTACAGGCCGTGTTGATAAGTGGGCCAAATCAGTGGGCAAAACTACCACAACTAACTTCCCACTAGTGGTCCCTTTCTCCACATGCAGTATCTTTGCCTCACTTCTTGCCCCCTTCAACTCTCCGACAGTAACAGCAGCTGACAGCAGTCACACACATTTGCTCTAGAAAATGGCATTAGCAGTGATTAACATATTCTCTGATGTGGAACACAAACACACACTCACCTATGCAAACCCGTGGGTCCCTGATATCCTTAACTGGGTCTTTGTAGTAGAAAGGTTTGCACATCTCACAGTTGCGTCCCATGGTGTTGTGCTGACATTCATCACACACTCCTCCGCTGACACTTCCCGTGGCCAAATACACCGCCATGTCAAAGTGGCACAAGGTTGAGTGGCCATTACAGTTACACTCTGAAAAAAAGACATTTATTTCAAACTAATTAGTCATTGCTGATGTTTTTTTATTCTTTTTTTTTCAAGTATTTACTATCCAGGGGCAGGTGCAGCAGGTTACATTTTTAGAGATGTAAATACCCCAAACTGTCAGTCACATTACTTTTTATACTTCCATTAGCCTGCTGACAAATAATCTATTAAAATGTAGCTGTACATGCTGTCTCTCATTAATGCTTACTGGCTAATACATCTGTGATTTGTTTTGTTTTTGCCCTTAATGTTCCTTTTGCTTCCTCCTCTGTACTCACTCTTGCAGGCGTTGGTATTGCGTCCCTCGGCTGGTCTCCAAGGCAGGTCATTGTGGAAATCATCACATTGCTCACAGTTCAAACCCTTGGTGTTATGGTTACACACACACCTGCCATGAACCTTGAAAAGAGATGGGAGGGAAGGAAGGGCGAGTAAAGGCAATCTGTATGAGATTAAGAAGCTTTGAAATTTTCAGAGTAAATTACAGGACGACTGAACTGACGCCTCATTACTCACCATTCCTTCTATATCGTCCCTGATGCCATCGATGGGGGCGCACTCCGAGGCGTGGCCATAGCAAAAGCAGTTTCCACGTACAACAAGCTCATATATAGCATAGTAATACTTTTCTTTGATTTCATCTCTGGGGTCCAGCAAGTTGTCTCCCAGTGTGTGAAGCTTGGTGAAGTTCACTCTCAAGTTGGTGATCTTTAGCTGGTCTGTCGGTGACAGGACATGAACAGAATAAGTGGGAGAGAGACAGAATGCAGGTATGTATTCAGAATAATACATCAGCAAATACACACGCACACACACACTCACACACAAACAGCACTAAAGCCCTTTTGTCCTAGCAAGAGGAAGTCAAGGCCAGTGGAGCATGACTGAACAGAGTGTGTGGCAAAGCATTTTGGGTGAACAACTGTTAATGGCCTGGGATGGTCTGAGGATTAGTTGGTCCTTAGGGTTTTGAAGCAACTTGACGTTACATTGAACTTAAACAGGGAGAAAAGTGGGTAGGTATTTTACTAGGAACAGTTTAAATCCGAACAAAAAAAAGGTCTATAAGCAATTTCAGCATGTCATCCAGTAAACCTATAAAAGGTGCAAAGAAACAGATGATTCATATTTTAGTATGTTAACACTTAAATCTATTTATCACCTGGACAATAGACAAAAACAGACTTATATTAACACAGACTTAATATATACATATACATATATATATATATATATACATATATATATATATACATATATATACACACATATATATATATATATATATATATATATATATATATATATATATATATATATATATACACATATATATATATATATATATATATATATATATATATATATATATATTTAAATCTTTTTATCTTTAAGCAAGATTCGAGTTGGATTCTTCTAAAGTTACGGTCTTAGAGTTTTCTGCTTTGTGTTACTATCCCTCAGCCATGATTCAGCACTGAAACACTATCTATGGAAGCACACAGAGGGAATTTCACACTAATTTTACAACTTATTAACTCGGACTGCTCAAGGACCTTATTGTATTAACCTCATGTGAACTTTGGAAAGTATTTTTGCACAGAATGAGAACTTAAGATTGAAAAATGTGCCCCCATTGGAATCACTTCATGACCAGCATGAACGATTACTGTGACCTATACAGCTTTCATTTACATTTATTCATTTAGCTGACGGTTTTATCCAAAGCGACTTACAATTGCTATACATGTCAGAGGTCGCACGCCTCTGGAGCAGCTAGGGGTTAAGTGTCTTGCTCAGGGACACAATGGTGGATGTTCACAGTGAGAATCGAACCCAGGTCTCCCACACCAAAGGCATCTTATCTATGCGCCATCACCAACCCTCAATGTAGGAGCATCTGAGTATTGCTAGCCAACAAGACTTTCAGAAGACAGACTTGAGAAACTGTGAACCTGTCCACTGCCGTGCTAGCAGCTCTCCATAACCCCTAGCCCAATGTCAAATTTTGACCTGCTGGAGGCACTACATGAAAAGTTAGGGGATCACCAAATGTCCAAATATCACAAGTCATCCTCCAGGTGCTGTGGATATCTGTACTTCACAGCTATGTAATAGTAATAGTTCAGGCAGAGCACTGAAGTTGCACTTGCAACCGGCATCAGCTGTTTCATTCATGTTTCACAATCCAAACTCATTCATCAGATGTGTGGCTATCAGCGAGTTTGTCAACCCGGCCATACTGTTTGCTGCTGCAACTCCCTCCACCACCCCAACATCTTCCATGTGGAATACCAATGTTTGGAATTGGTATTTACTAAAATGTTAATATTTGTTAAAGGGGTATTAGCCTTGTTGCTGCTCGAATTCTTTGAGAGCTCCCTGGAAAAAAAAGAACGTGTTCCGCTTACAGTTTAACCATTCGCTGTAAATAGTCAGTTCCTTTACATACGTGTCTCCATAAATCTTAAGCCAATTTCCTCCTTAAACTAATGACAAAGTGAGACACCATTCAAATGCCACACGTGACTTTCAAGTACATTCCAAGAAGGGAGCAAATCCAAAAATGATGGACAATAATGGAATACCTTGTTGAAATGGTTCATCCCACGTCCTGCTTCTTTATCCTCTCAAACTATTTGGAGAGAGGTCCTATAGGGAGAAAGATAACTCCTTGTCTTGTCACCCTGTCAGTCTGCCGGAACAGCCGTGGTCAGAACCTCGGCTGTTACAGTCCAGCTGTTTACCAGCAGTCTTTAACACGCATACACCACACTAACGCAGATGTACCGCAACACAAATGCTTGACAACACACATTTTACACCTAGATTAGTACATAAGGCAGAAACTGATGTGGTAATTGTGGTATAAATGTGTATTACCATCAATATCAACAAGATGAATGTACTCATTGTCACGATTATGAACATTAATAATGCATCATCAGAGCAGTTGCAACCTGCACTGAGTCCTCTTTACAAACCGGTCTTCCTTTCCTTTCCCAGCATGTAAAACTTTTAGCTTCTGTCATTTTTAATCTTGCTGGAGTTGAAGCCTCAGTGTTACAATAAGATGAATGGAATGTTTCATGGGAGGCTTTATTTTTGTCCAAACTCTGACCCTGCCCTGCTGACTTTATCTGCAGTAATAGAATCCCTCTCTGACAGACAAGAGCTAATCCCTCCAGCTCCACTGCACTAAAACACTGTCTGCTTCTCCTCATGCTGTACAAGCAGACTGGAGAACAGTCCTCCAACTCAGCCAGCAATAACTGCAGCAGCCAAACAGCAGCTTTCAGCAGCTCAAAGGTTGAACATGAGACCTCTGTCAGGCTGTTTCCATTCAGAATTTTTATTATTTATCAGTGTGAAATTAATCTGGAAACATGCTCACACTAACATACAGGCCTATTTGGAAACCAATATGACAACAGAAAAAAAATACTCCATCAGAAGAGCAAGACCCACTAAATAGGCTGGTATTGTTAGCTACTGCTGTTTTCGTGTATGCCACTGTTTTTTAGGCTAGGGGCTAACCCTCTTTGTCTTGCGCCCAAAAGGTTCTACCAATGAAATGCTTTAATTTAAAGATGGTTAAGGTTAGAGGCAGGGCTGGGGGTCATGTTCAGAGAGGAAGCTTTGCCGGGAAAGCTACATTCAGTGCAAAACATCTCCCAATCTCACTCAAGTGATGAAGAAAACAAATAAAAAGCTAGCCAACAAGAATTACTTCAGATGTTGATTCACTGTCTTGACAGCAGCAGACAGTACATATAGATTGTTCAGCTGTGAGGGGGGTCGAGGGTCTTCATGCGGGCCAGTTACATTGAGATATTCAGCAACAGAACAAGACAACTTCTGCTGCTGCATTGGAAACCGAGCTTGGGTTCTGGGAAAAGCTCTTATGTCCTGCCAGTCTAAACATGAGGGCTAGGACAGTGAGGCAGTGTGGGAGAGAAACAGCTGCTTTTCACATCTCTCCACGTCTTCCACACAGCGGGGCCATGTTTCACAGCCCAAGGAGAGGGCCTGTTAAAGTCTGTAATGTGTCACAGCTGGATAACAAGAGCTAATCGTGTTGGCTGGAGTTTGATTCATGGTCTCTTTTTTTGTATAACAAACTATATTGATACTGCAACTAATGTGCGTATGTTCCAAATTTTCTAAAAACAGACCAGAAAAAGAGACCAATTGTGGATTGAAAAATCCTGCACACTCGTCATACCAGTAAATTTAACAAAAGATAAATAACAGCTGGAAACTGACAAATTTGAAAAGGTAAAATGAATTTTGGTCACAGACGTCTTCAGGCAAACATCTCTCTACATTTTAACTACTGACATACATTTCTTATTGTGAGATTATTCTTTTATTATTTTTAAGTGTTACGTAATTAAGAGACTGAAAATAATATTTAATTTTCAGTTAAAAACAACTTGGGGTTGAATTAAGAGCACACTCAGACCCCTTTCAGACAGCAGACGTGACTGTGATGTGGGTCTACTCGACACGTCTTGACTGGGTTATCAGTGCTGTGGCCAAACTGTCAAAACTCACATGAATGGGAAACCTAAAGCCCCAGCACTGGCGCATGACTCCACAATCATTCATACAAAGTAATTACGCTTGTCCAGCATGACCTTGGCGTCTTGTGTACTCCACCCAGTGGTGTTGTACACAATCAATCTGATCAGCCGTTTAAAATGCGAGCTTGACCTACTCTGGATGCTTGGACTGTATGGATCCTCAATCCTGATGGCTGGTTCCAACACTCTGTAGATAACCTAGGACAAACATATTATGCACAGGCATTACATATTTGAATAATCTGAGACTTGATATAATATAAATAAGCAGCAATATGCAAACATGTGTGCACTTAAGATTTTGCTTGTGCTTTTTACTTGTGCTGGGGACAAAATGATGTCCCCAGCACAAGTAAAAAGTGCTGAGGACATCCCCCTGCTTCCAGTCTTTAGGCTAAGCTAAACTACTGAGGGCAGTATCGGTCTTCTCATCTTATTCTCAGCAAAAAAACAAATACATGTATATCTCAGAATTTGTAACTATTCCTTGAGGTCAGGCTGGACGTGTACAGTATTTGTGTGGTCACAACCATTAGAAAACTTTAGATCCAAATAAATGGGGTCAAAGACTCAAAACACCTTACTTTATTTTTATTCACTGAAAATAAAAGCTTAGGTGTTTTGGTGTCTGTTCGGTGACACCTGAAGTTGTTCAACATCCTCCTGGATCTATTCTTCATATACTGTATGTTATAATCTATTTACAATTTTACCAACGTGATTGTCCATACTGTAATTTCATTATATTGGTCTATTCTATACACACGACATCTATAGCACGTCCTGTCAGAGGGATCCCTCCTGTCCTGCTCTCCCTTCAGTGTCCTCCATTTTTTGAGGAGTTTTTCCTCAAGGAGGCAAATTTGTGATTTTTTTAGTGTTAATCTTGAGCAACTAATGTGACCCATCATTTTTTTATTTAATCAATCGCTCACCTCTCCCTCCGTTGACGGCTCAATGTCAGAGTAGCGTGACTCACAGATGACATCATTAATGTTACGCAAAGGACCCTGGGACACTCCGGGAAAGTTAGCAGAGCAGTCATGGGAAAAGTAGCGGTAGACATGCCAGGTTCGACCAAAATCTGCTGACCGCTCAATCAGCATGGCCGCCGGTCGGAAAGTCTGCAAGAGAAGAGTGTCATAGACAAAAATTCACACCGCTTATTTTGTTGAGCAGTCTAATCCCAAAACACAAAACAAATGGAGCTGTACATCACACCTTTCAGCTACTTTCAGATACTTGATACAGGTCAATTAGCTGACAGCAAGAGCTTTCGTCCTACCTTAAAGGTCATAATTAGGTGAGTGAAATGAAACTCTGCTTCCAGATCCAACTGGATAAAGACATCTGACTTTCCTGAGAGAAAAAGACACAGAGAGTGACAAACTTTAAATTTAAACAAAGCCAAAATTTTTCTTTACAAGGCTGTTAGATTGTATTCGTTTTGCATCAATATCATCAATTTGTAACAGATGGATAACAAAGAATAATTGCTAGCGGGTGAGCGAGTGAAGTAGCAACTGTGCTTGAGGAATGGCATCTTTTCAGGAAACGGCCTTCGGTCTTGGCAGGAGAAATGTAGAGAGCATGTCGGAAAAGCCCACACACTTCCTGAGTTGTACAGCGCCAGATATTCTGAAGGGCCACTTTACTGTGAGGGTCACTTTCACTATTGTTCTCTGTGTTTTTGGATTTCATGTACAGCACAAAGAAGACTTTCCCATTCCTGCCTACTAATTTATGAAGAGCACCGTGTGTATTTTGTATTTTACACTCTTCAACCCGATAACTTGTAAACTTTCAAGACTTACTTGAAGACAAACAACAAGCTTGTCCTGCTCTTTGATACACACATGCAAAGAGTGAGAATTTGTTGTGATGCCACATGTTTTGCAAAAACCTAACCTAAACAGATCCATGGGGATCTGATTTACCTGGGAAACTCGCAGGTAGTGACAGTGTGAATGTGTGTGGCACACAGTTGGATAGTGTTAGAAAGCAAAGACAGTGAAATGCGATAGATGGTATTCTATGCTATCTATATGGTTAACCTACCTATTAAAGCTGCACTAATCAATATTTTTATACAAACGATAGCTCAAGTAACTATGTGCAGTGGGAATGTGTTGCTCATAGTAATGAACCCACAGAGAATTATCACCCGACTGCTGCTCCCCCTTCAGCTCTCCAGAGTCTTTTCGTATCTTTCAGCTCATTGTTGGGGTTATGTGGCTAAAATATGCTAATGGTGAGGTAAGTGGTTAAGCTTGCCTTTTGTAGTCAAGAACTTGCAGCAGCCCACAACTAAGAAATAGTGCCTTTTAATGAGAATTATTGGGAAGCGCCGAGGCCAGATGCCAAGGTAAATAGGTCATTAAATTGTAATTGCCAAGTCACTGGAAAGAAAAATATGGAAAACAAAGAGGAGGAAGGGTGTGCAGAGCTAGGGGGAAGAAAAGAAGGGAAAAGAGTAGAGAGTGAAAGAACCATTCAAAGCATAAATTTTGAGTCATATGTTGCTGATGGAGAACTTTGTTGGGCAAGTCATACATATAAAATGGTAATGGAAAACATGCAACACCAACACACGCAGATTGTGCGTATTAGCCAGCACTCACTTATAAGGCCAGCATGCATGCATGCAATCCCAGGAAATTGCAATTCCAATTAATAAGCGCACACAATCAAACCACTGTAATCCATACAAAGTAGGCACACTGTGCCACAAAGATGCCATGGAAAGCAGTAGCAACCAAGAGTAAAAATAGTCACTGTACTTCCTGTCCCCCTTCTTCTTCTGTTTCTCTCTGTTCTATTCTGGGTCTGTTACTGCTGCACAGTGCTGTCATCAGCATCACTCCATTACAGTAACATGGCAGACAAGCAGCTGAAATGAGCCTTGTGTCTAACTGGCTGCTCTGCACAGAGTTTTAAATGTTAAAGTGTACTACTAAAGCTCCTTTCTAGTCTTCCAACCACTCAAAGCGGTTTACACTAAATGTCACGTTCACCCCATTCATACAGCAGTGGCCGTCATGCATGGTGCCAACTTCACATCAGAAAGGAACTAATCATTCACACATATTCACACACTGACAGCCTTCAGGAGAAATGTGGGCTTCAGTATCTTGCCCAAAGACACTTCAGACATGCAGAATGGAGGAGCCAGGGATAGAACCTCAGGGCTTTATCTCCTGAGCCACAGCCACCCCTTTATAGTCACTTATTGTCAATGTGAGTGAAAATGCAAGTGTTCAAGTGTGTCTCTCTCCCTGTCCTTACTACTGTTTCTCACTCTTAAACACTCAGCTTTCACTTTTATCTTTTTCTTTTCTCCATTCCCCGTCATCCCCCCTCTCTCTCTCTGTTGATATGCCAGAGCAGGGCCTACTCTGTTATTAAGCCCATCTGTAGCTGGTCGTTGGCAACAGTGTGTGTGTGTGTGTGTGTGCATGCTAACTTAATACTGCTTTTAAAGTTCTCTATAGTTGCTTACTAATTGTGGTTTCAATAAATATTTAGGATCTTGTTCTTTTTCCATTTTTGCCTTCCTTCCAAATTTATCATTTCTCCCCCCTATCCCGCCATCCCACCATTCATCTCTAAAAACCAAATAACTTTAATGACAAACAGTATGAACAGCATCTCATTCGTTCCTGGTTTTGGGAGCAATTCTAATAAATTATTTCAGCTTTACTTAGGCTCAGTGCAAATGTATAACCATGAAAATGAAAGCTGAAATCACACTATATTACTAACACATTTAGCTTGCCGAGAAAACCAGGTTATATAGAAAGATTTCCTATTGCAAATACTGAGATGAAAGTATTTAGGTTTATATACCTATCCGATGTTAATGTTAATACTGTACAAACCATAATCATCACATATACATACTATTTATTAGGTTCTGTTCAAATCGTATATATCATAGTACATAATACACTCTAAGCACTGGATTTTGCTGTATTAGCACTTAGTGTGTGTAATGAGTTGAATCTAATCCAATGCCTGTGTGGTTGGTGCATAGCAGACCTGCCGAGCATCTATGACTCTGAGTCAAGTTTCACAGAAACATTAAACATTAAAAAGTAAATTAATGCAAATCAGATGTAAATTAAGAACTGGTACTGTTTTTGAGAGTGTGAGTAAGATATAGATTTCAAAGCATTCTCTTTTTTAACAAATATGTAATGGAGAATTATATTAAAAAAGGGTAAGTCGTTTAATTCAGACAGCAAGTCCTAGATAAACAAAGTTAAGTGACATGCTCCATCTGTACCATAGCAATGCAGCAAATCAGATTCTGTAATATGAAAGGAATGCCTTTCATTTAACAGTGATGCTTGCTGCTTAGTTTGCATAAATTCAAACATGACTGGATAGTGTACAGTGTTTTTAGTTTTTTAAAGATCAGTTCTGAACCATTCATTTAAAATTATGGCTTGCCTTTTCTTATTTGCTTTTTACTTATATAAATTATTTTTATTTAGGCTTATCGCTAATCTATAAAGTATTAGTAAATGGTTTACAAACCATTCATAAAGCTTTTATTTACAAAACAGTTTTATAAAAGGCTGCCATATAAGAAAGTGTCTTCAGTAGTACACCTGAGTGTGAGACAAGTAACCTATTTGGCTGATTAGTAGGTACAAAGTACAAGTTATAAGTCAATAACTATTATTTTAATAGTGTTCATTGTAATTATTTTAATTATTTTAATAAACTCTGCACTGAGATTGCATGTCAGTGCAGAACACAAGTGATCACAAAGTCTCCTCACCGTTTTCGGACTGCCACCAGGACTTCTTGCGGTGAGGTTTGAAGGCGGTGATAACGTTCTCTATCCGGTGATTAATGGTGTTGTACACTGGGTCATATGGCCGTCTAGAGTCACAGTCGAAACACTTCTTCTCATCCTGCAGCAGGTCAAGATAAGGTCAGGGTTCCATGGTCAAAGGTGAAAGATTTCAGGGGTCAATGAATTTACCAAATATCACAGATGTGTTCAAACACACACACACACACACATACACACGCACTGACCTGCAGATGACTGACAATGCAGTAGGGCTCTTTCTTCCTCATCCCACATGTGGAAGAGGCTTTCAGGTTCTTCTCTCGTCCAACCAGCAAGTCCCCCGTTGCTGGGTAACAGCTGCCATGGGCACAGCCGTGGCTGTGGTCAGGCTCCTGGCCAACGGCAGCAGCCAGGACTGTGGGTCGGGGGAGGGGGTCAACAGGAAATTAATTACAATGAAAAGGAAACAGCAGTTCAGAGTGGCATGGTTCCCTAGAGCACCCATTCACAAATCAGTACCCTTCTCTAACATCAAAAGCTCTTATCGCTTCCTGAAAAAGAAAGACAGGAAATTCAATAGCTAAATTTGTGGATTTGTCTTACTGTACGTCTGAGTCAACTTAATTATGTTACAGTAACCTGACCAGTGAGTCGGAATCATTTCAATCATTTCATTTGCCCCACAAAGTAGGTGGGTATTAAGAAGTGAATAAATAGACAAATTCAGATATTCTCGGGGAACTTTATCACAGCAACATTTTATATTTTATGCTTTTCACTCTACAGGAGTGTACATCTGTTCTGGAAATTATTTTGTTAATAGAAATTAGTTTAATGGTCTTTAATCACTTTTTATAGGATGTGTGGAATGGAAAACGCCGATTTCTTTGAAAGTTTTGGTTTCTTGGACAAATAGCAAATTGGAGGTTACCACCAGAGAGAGCTCCTCCCTGGTATGTATGAGAAAGGAGCATCTGGAAAAAAAGTTTTGCAGATGTTCATAATCCAGGATTTAGAAACCTCAAATTAAACCCCATTTCTGTGGAAAAGATTGGTTAGGAGATCACTTCAGAGAAGACTGAGTGGGTGAAAACAAAGAAGAAGATTGTTATCTCACTAGAACTATCAATAATATATATATAATCAAGTCCTTTTAAACAGTTTTATAGATGGACTGAATCTAGAGTGCAATAAGACCTGCGCTCTAGATTCACAAGTGTATTTGGTGAAGGGCATGAGGTTTCATGAGGCTGATTCATTGATATACCCTTGTTTTCATGTAAAATCTGATGGTCTCAGGCTTACTTGGGAGAGTAATTTAGGTCACTCATTTGCAGACAGAGACTGGGATTGTGTATGTAAGAATATCATGCGCAGGTCTATATATTTTTACTTTTTACTAAGTTGAGTGACTGTATGTACAACCCTAATTCCCTAAGTTGGGATGTTGTGTAAAACATAAATACAAACAGAATACAATGATTTGCAAATCCTTTTCAACCTATGTTCAATTGAATACGCCACAAAGATATTTAATGTCCAGCTGATAAACTTGATTTTTTTTTGCAAATACTCACTCACTCTGAATGTATTGCCTGCAACACGTTCCAAAACAGCTGGGACAGGGGCATGTTTACCGCTGTGTTACATCACCTTTCTTTCATCACACTCAATAAGCGTTTGGGAACTGAGGACACTAATTGTTGAAGCTTTGTAAGTGGAATTCTTTCCCAGTCTTGCTTGATGTACAACTTCAGTTGCTCAACAGTCCGGGGTCTCCGTTGTCGTATTTAGTGTTTCATAATGCGCCACACGTTATCAGTGGGAGACAGGTGTGGACTGCAGGCAGGCCAGTCTAGTACCCGCACTCTTTTACTACGAAGCCACGCTGTTGTAACACGTGCAGGATGTGGCTTGGCATTGTCTTGCTGAAATGAACAGGGACGTCCCTGAAAAAGACGTTGCTTGGATGCCAACATATGTTGCTCCAAAACCTGTATGTACCTTTCAGCATTAATGTGCCTTCACAGATGTGCAAGTTACCCATGCCATGGGCACTAACACCCCTCACCCCATCCTTGAGCCTTTCAGGGATGCTCCTTTTATGCCCAATCATGACACTCACCTGTTTCCAGTTAACCTGTTCACCTGTGGAATGTTCCACTGTTGTTTTTTGAGCATTCCTCAACTCTCCCAGTCTTTTGTTGCCCCTGTCCCAGCTATTTTGGAACATGTTGCAGGCATCAGATTCAAAGTGAGTGAATATTTGAAAAAAACAACAAAGTTTATCAGTCTGAACGTTAAATATCTTGTCTTTGTAGTGTATTAAATTGAATATAGGTTGAAAAGGATTTGCAAATGAATGCATTCTGCGTTTATTTACGTTTTACACAACGTCCCAACTTCATAGGAATTGGGGTTGTTTGTGGCCCCATAAAGGTTATGGACCACAGGTTATGGGCTTATTGAGCTGGACATTGACTCCCCGTAACTAGACAGCTACTGCTTAATCAAGAGCTGATTCAATGTTTAGACAACATCCAGTAGGAGGAGGATTATCTCAAGGCAAGAGCCTCTGCTATGTGCAGGGGTCTCAAGGAAGTGACCTGACAAGAGGCCCCAAACACAGGCTAAAACTGGAAACTAACCAATGCAGGTCATACAACTATCAACTAAGACCAGCAAATGTTAGAAATATAATGTCTTGAAAATGAATTCGTATTTACTCATAGCTTAATCTTCCAGATGTAGATGTGACATGAAAATATCTGACAGAAAAGCTTGTTTTTATAGACCTGGTAAGAATGTTGAACCATGAAGTGAACAGATGATGTGTCAACAGCACTGGAGCCTTGGCGTGACTTAATAGCTGTGCTATGTGTGGGAGTTAAAATAAACCTTATACACTTTCATGACAACCAGCAGCAGCCGTCACACATTCCACTGGACATCTTGACGTTAATTTCTCCTGTATGGCTCAGGGACCTGTGGTCTGTGTGTTTTGCTATGAGGAAATTGGTATGAGAAGAGTGAGACCCAGGGGTCTTGCTGTCAATCTATGGTCTGTCCACAACAGGTGTTTCCAATCCTCCCCCCATACAGTCTACATGGCAGCATGTAAGAGTAACAGCTCTACAAAACACTCCTACACTGTGGATCAAATTTAAAATGCTTTGAAAAAACAGGGCATGTAGCCTATTTACAATCCCCAAAAGATAAAAAGATGAATGCTATACAGCACAAAAGACACAGCTTTACTTGAGGATCTGGAGGCTTAATGGCTTAAGGCTGCAGTAACTAGTGCTACTCGTACACTTTTTGGCATTATATTTTTGTCTCAATCCTGAGCGGTTTAAGAAACTGCTTGGAAAAAAACTTTTTCTGTCTTGAAAATGTCCCAATTATATAGAATGATTAAATTTGAGGAAACAAAAATCAGTTCTGTGCTTGGTAGCCTAATTGTATTTGCAATAAGGCAGTTTCTCACTTAGCTATAGGCCTAACCTGCTCCTTTTCTCCCTCTTAAAACCCCTGCTCTGCATGGTAATAATTTAGCCTGTACTTTATTAGCTTGTACCCAAGCTATCTTGGTAGCTAGCTAACTGCTGCCAAATAAGCAGTTGCTAATCATGCTAGTTGCCATAGTTCCCTTGATAATTGCTTCTAAGTTAAGTAAATGCAAGAGCACAGTTAAAGGTCAGTGTTTTTTACTGAAATGTATTACCTTACAATACCTTGGCTGTGTAGCTGGCAAGTATTAGCCAACTAGCTTAGTTAGTTAGTGCTTTTCTGGCAGAAGTTTAGTTGCTAACACATACTCAGACTACAGCCACAACAACTTTTTTGTCATAAGACAGTTTTAAAGAGTTTTAAAGTGAAAACTATCTCCATCCACACCAGCGTTTTAGCTGCGTATCAGTTACAGTATGTTAAAATGACTGAAAAGTGCCCATCATTCACGTACACTGGGCATGCATGTGTCTGTGTAAACAGGAAGCAGATTGTCTACACCGCAGTTGTAGAAGATTAGAATCAAAATGAGAATCAGCTTTATTTGCCAAGCACACGACATAGCATACGAGGAGTTTGAATCCAGGTTGTACATTGCTCAGAGTCCTCCGTTTTCACCTGTCTGCACTAATACGCTATACCTGGAATTTTAAAACAAAAACGGGGTGTTCCAAATTTCTCCATTGGGTGTTTGGATTCACCGTTTAAATCTGCACAGCAAGTGTAAATGTAGCAGTAGTGCTGCGTTTTAAAACAAAAATGTAGTGTGGATGTAGCCTGAGTAATCTTTAACATCTGAAAGGATCTTTATGACAGACTGCAACTTGAGAGTTCAAACCCTTGAATAAATCAGGCTAAGCCACATTTTCTGTGAAGTCATTTTCTTTTTGAAGTCAGCACAATATACGCAATAGGAGCAACATGGCACATGTAATCATTTATAGCACTGCTGTGGTGCTATCCCTTCAAAAAGAGACACACACAGTGCGTAATGAATGACCAAAGGCACTTGTCCTTCGGTTGTTAACTTCAATAATATTAACAAACTGTAACTGAACAAACCTTAACAATGTATGCCTGCCTTATGTCAGCCAGGGGGGCCTCTGCTGCCTTCACACTGTACAATATTGACATCTCAAAACATTTTTAATGCTGCTGAGACAGACATAAAGGGAGACTGGCTGCTCTGCCTGGATGCTCTCTGCAGGTCTACACTCACTGATTAAGGTAGAGAGATGGTGTATTACACCATGTAGCCATGTATTTATACATGTATTTACACACTGGCTTTGATCTTCGCCACAGACAGCTTAAGGAAGAAGTCTGGGAGGTACTTGAAGGCTGCCGACTCCTTACTTAGAGCTCTGACAAATTGTTTCATAAGGCCCAATTTGATGTGCAGTGGTGGCATCAGCACCTTCCAGGGGTCCACAACTGGCTCCCACTTGACTTTGTTCCTCCCCACAGAGAACTTGGTCCGCTGTGACCAGTCTCGCCTGTGGAAGTGTGCCCTGGTGTCCCTGCTGTCTCAAAAGCAAAGATAGCAGGGAATTTTCTTAACATATGTTAGACATCAAGTCTCCCTCATACTTCATACAGGAAAATTAATGTTGAAATGTCTCAGTTTTAAATGGCTGTTGACGGCTGCTGCACATCAAACTGGGCCTTTTAAAACAATTTGTCAGAGCTCTAAGCAAGGAGTTGGCAGTCTTGTAGTACCTTCAAGACTTCTTCCCTAAGCTTTCTGAGGCACCGATCAAAGCGGTTGTATAAATACATGTTAATTTTTTTTTTTAATTCATGTGTTGTTTTTTTCTGACTTTATGTGAATGGAAAGGTTTTCAACATTTCAAAATCCTGGTCACAAAAGCAAACTTTGTGGGGAATAATGGCCATTTTAGGTAA